TTCTTTCTTTCTTTCTTTCTTTATTTCTTTATTTCTTTCTTTCTTTCTTTCTTTATTTCTTTATTTCTTTCTTTCTTTCTTTCTTTTGCTGTTGTGCTCTTCTGAGTAAAGAGAACCTATAACTAAATAGTCCAGTTGGGTTTATAGTTACATCACATTATCATTGGCTTAGAGTTTCAACGATGATAAACTAGTTCTGCAGGATTCTAATCAAAGCCAGATTTGTTACGTCAGGGAAAAATAGGGACATTTGTCTTATTCTCCCATTTACTGTCTGGTATAAATGATTAGTCGGGTCACAAGGTAATATTTTTCAGGACAGAATCCCAGCATCCCTCTAACCAGCAAAACTTTGACATTTGATTATCCTCTTGCAAAAGAAAAGTATAAATTAACCATGAACGTTACCTATAGGGCACATTTGAAACAACAGAGACCACAAGCTCTAGACAAACAGATAAATAAAAAGTGTATTCATTAAAAGAGAATTAATACAAATAATAAGAGCAATGGTGCCTAGAAATACAGTACTACAAAAATAAATATTTTCAGTTTAATTTTCTCTGCCAGGCCTGTCTTCAAGTTATATTTTAATAAAACAGTTAAATATTTTGTACAGCATGTAATCATCAGGACAATCTTGTGTTTAAAAAAATTTAATCAAGTTAATATTACTTTTATATTGTTTGTGTAATCCAGCTGCAGCCTGACTCTACTGGCTCAAACTATTAGACAGGTGTTATCATTATAAACAAATTAATCTCCATATTTACCAACCTTTCATGTCTGCTGAACATGCATTGAAGCATTTAAGGTACAGGAATCAGATGTGTAAACAGATTCTGCTTCATAGTTAAGATTTAAAATCTGAGCTGGATTTAATATTTTTATGTTTGTTTTTAAATAAAAATGTCTGTTTTGGTGATCAAGCAGAATTTGTTGGAAGATTAAACAATGAGATATGATATAACCCCTACAAAATTATTGTGAAATAAAAGTGTTCATAGATTCATTGAAAGTCTCAGTTTGTCTTTTATGTTCTTTATTATGCTTCTGTTTAAGCCACTATAGTGTTTACACATAGCAGCCTGCAGCCAGGTGTTTAGTGTCCAAATAGAAAAAAAATCTTGTCAGACAAGTGCCATTGTTCTAAACCAATAAATGTTGCTGCCGCTCCCTCCAGTTCAGGGGTCTGTCGCTTTCTAAATAAGATAATACTTTTAATAAATGATAAGAGGATGAAACAGCAGATTGATGAATTGCTTTGTGTTTAAGAAAGAGTTCACATTTAGGAAAAAGTAGACGGATAGGGGTGCGAAGGAAGTTATTTATGTTAAGAGAGAAAAAAACAACCTTAAACAGAGAAGGTGGACTCAGGTTTCAGCTCTCAAAAACCTACAACGCAGCGATAGAGATGATTCATCTCAATCCTCATCGCCATGCAGGGGACCAAAACATCTCGCCTGTTTAGCCAGGCCAATAACGACCCTAACGACTCCCCTTTTCAGAGGCATATACCAGTATTGGGTATTGACCTTAACGACTCCCCATCACTAAGTGGTGGACCTATTCTTCTGGTTCAATTTGCATGTTTTCTAAGCCATAACAAGGCTTTGTTTGGGCCCCCCCATAAGCCTGGACCTCACCGCTACGTCAGACATTTTGAATTGAAAAAGCTTCCTGGATGGGAAGCGAAACGTCTTCAAACTTGGAAAACAAAGTCCAGTGGATTGTTTTTTAACCTTTTCTCCTATGAGGGACAGACCAAAGAAAGAACAGAAGCGCCTGGTTGGTTAATGGAACCAAATTCAGATTAAAAACAGTCATAAATCCCATCAATTAAAACCCCTCCCTTTTATGTAATTTTTAATCTTATTTCTTAAGCTATTTTTTATTAATTTAAATAAAAAAACACTTGGGGTTGATTCTTACTAGCACCACAGATGTAAATAGAATTTATCATTTGATCTTGAAAAAAGCGTGTAGTTTCTAACTGAATGAGCAGCCAGTGTGACCTCTAATTACCGTAACCTAAAAAGCTCATTAATCTCCTGTTGACTGAGAAACCAAACCAGGCTGAGTGAATCGTTTCGTTCTAACCTCATTTGGGCACCACAAACCCAGAAGTTCATCTTAAGAGAGGATGCCAGCAGGGTGGAGACAACCCCTACAACATGTTATCACATAATGACAGTCCCTGAGTTGAAAGTGTACACAATCATTTCCCAGGAATAACCATCCAGTCGAGGGAAAAAGCAGCAACAACCAGAAAAAAAAGACAGATATATATATATTTCTTACAAATGGGTTTTATTCTGACTTAGTCCTGTACAAACCCTCTATAAAGTCAAAGTAGTACAAATTGACAACTGCAGCTGCTATGTGGTTCTGTAAGGTTAAAACAAACAAAGCCACATACAGCGGAGAGCTTTTAACTACTTAAATATAGGCATCGGAATAGCTTAAAAAGACAAAGGTTTTATGTGTACAGCATTGTTGAAAGGCCTGCACGGCCTCAGCCAGGCACAGCGCTTGCATTTCAGATAATAAAGCGAAAAACCACATGAAAAAGGCTGCACACAGGAGGAGCAACAAGTAAAAGCTGTCACATAGTTGGAGGTTATGGTGGCAGCGGGTGTAGCTCTGCTGAGCAGCAGACCACAGGAATGGCCTATTTTTGGAAGGATGGCCTCCTCTCAGAGAAGAAAGCGCAGCTCTCCCTCTCACTGAGCGTCCAGGATGTCTGTGGGCAGGACGTCTGGTTTGCCACTCGGGCTCTGTGATGTTTCCCCTGACCAGGAAGACGGGGTGACCTGATTATACAGGGCGTCCTGAGAGCCGATGAGGGGCTGTTTGAGATTCAGATTGTACATAAGAAACAGATTGAGAACGACCATGGCAAGGAGAGGGAAGAAGCTCAGACCAGAACCGAAACCTCTCCAGGAGCTGCACGTGTTGAGGCTGAACCAGAAAACAAGCCTGTGAAGAAAGAGAAGAACAAACCAAAACAGGAAATCAGGTGGAGTTCAGATATTTATGATAAACACCATTTCCCTCATCAGCCTTGTTTACAGAACAGGGGATTTTTTAAAATCTTTTATTAAACACTCCAACATCAAACCTGCATCTGTTATGCTTGAATATTCCAGGGAACACACTGCACCATCTAATAGTTTGATAGCTATCATATTGTGTTGAAATTTAAAAAATTGGATGCAAACTTCCTTAGCACATTTTCCACCTGCGGTTATTTTTCAGATTGATTAACATTTTCAGCTTTCTATAAATGGATGTAAAGAGACTGTTACTTCCAAGATTATGATTTTTTTTCCCTTTAGTTACATCTAAAGACCCTAAGGATGACTCTGCCACCTCCATGCTTGACTGTGGTCTACCTATGTTTAAAAGCCTGAGGCAAGGCAAGGCAAGGCAAATTTGTTTGTATAGCACAATTCAGTACAAAGACAAT